CCTTCAATCTAGTGACCTTGCTAATTCAATTGTTAATTTTAATTGTTTATGTATTCTTTTGGATTCTATTAGTTTTTTTAAAAAATCAAGTTTTAACTTTATCTTCTGAAGCGTATTTTTCTTTTGTATTTAATTAGTTTCTGCTCTTATTTCTATTATTTTACTTTCAGTGCTTTTCGATTTCTGTGATCCTCTTCTCATTTCTTTAGTTGAACACCTAGGTAATTTATTTTTGGAGTTTCTTCTTTAATGCATTTATTCAGTATATAAATTTCCCTTCATGCATTGATTTAGTTAAATCCCATATGTTTTGACATGTTGCTTTCATTAGGTTTTAGCTCAAAACATTTTCTAAATTCCATTGTCATGTGTTTGTTTTTAATGCATGGACTATTTAGAAGAGAACTTCTTAATTTTCAAACACAAGTGAGGGGAAGTGGTATTAGTTATTTATTGCTGTTTTAACAAGAGTATCACAATTTAGCCTTATAACAACACACATTTATTATCTCACAATTTCTGTTTGGTCAGTATTCTGGGCGTGGCCTCACTGGGCCCTCTGCTTCAGGGCCTCTTGCAAGGTGTTTGTGGGGCTTTGTAGTTTGACTAGTGGAGTATCAGCTTCCAAGTTTACCTGGTTGTTTTTGAGGTCTAGAGGCTGCACTCAGCACCTTGCCACATGGGCCCCTCCTTAGGGCAGCTCATAAGATGGTATCTTTCTTCTGATGAGCCATCAAGGGAGGGAGTCAGTAGAGAGTCTGCTAGCAAGATGGAAGTTAGAATCTTATTGAATGTAATAATTTATTGCTTAGAGGCATGCCATAGCTCCTCTCCACAATCTCAGGGAGAGGATTACATAAGGCTGTGCATTCCAGAAGGTTGAGAAAGTTGGGCACCATTTTATTATGACTGTACATCTTGTCCTTTTTTGTGTGTGTATGTTCCATATTTACCCGAAATTAATGTTTATTCCTTAGTTGGAGGACATAGTGTTATATATGTGTCAATTGGATCAGGTTTGTGATCACATTGCTGAAATTTCCTGTAGCTTTGTATCTTCTATTATTGGTTGTAAGCCATATTGTTAGGAATATACAAATACAGAATCTCAAAATTCTGAATTTTTATCTCTCTGGTTCATTTATATTAGAATTTGAAATGTTTGTCTCTTTATCTCCAATTTTGCTTCTTAAAGCTAACTTTTTATTATATTAATAAAGGTTCATTAGTTGTCTTTGACATTTTTTGTTCATCTTTTCTGAAAAATTACTTTCAACTTTTGTGCAGCCTTATGTTGAAATTGTCACTTACAAGCAGCACATACTTAAAAAAAATCTAATTGACAATAATTATATTATCCTCTTCACTTTTCATTGTATTTCATAATGCAACATGAATGTTAGTATTGTTAATATCTTATATGAATTGGTTCTTTCACCAATTCTTGGACAATAGAACACTAATTCCTTTTTTTTTCTTGCCTTGAGTGCTGTTATTATTTGTTTTGTGATTACAATATTTGTGGATTTTAGAATTCATTATTATAATAGTTGTAAACATTCACTGTTCTTTTAGATTTGCCCACGTAGTTAAGGTTTCTGTTGCTTTGTGTTTTACTTTCTTATCTTGCATCAATCTGATATTACTTTCTCTCTGTCTGAAGAATTGTCTATAATCTGGTTGTCTAAGGACAAATTCTCTTTTGTTGGTCATTAAATGTCCTTATTTTGCTTTGGCCTGATGAAAAACTTTTTCTCTACCTACTTAGGTTCTTCTATTGAAGGTCTGTGAATCAAAGTGATAAAAGACAAATTGTCACAAGAAAAGATAGATTTTTAAAAATTCAAATGGATGTTCAAGAGAGTTCACATAAAAATGTGACTCAAGGAAATGATTAGAATTTGAGGCTTTATATCAGCATCTTAATAGGGTAGAGGGAAGGGAGAAGGGCCCTTATCGGAAAACAAATGACTTTTAGGAAAGATAAATGGACCTTTAGGAGAATAGATGGGAGATAAGATAGTATTGTGACGATGTCCCTTTAGGCAGTTTCTTATCCTAGTGCTGACTTCTAGTCTGCAGGTTATAGGAGTCAGCCTTTTCTCCTTGTGAAACTTCAGTAGAGAGGACCTGGAGATTGTCATTCTAAATGAAGTAAACCAGAAGGAGAAAGAAAAATACCATATGATACCACTTATATGTGGAATCTAAAAAAAAAAGACAAATGAACTTATTTACAAAACAAATAGACTCAGAGACATAGAAAACAAACTTATGGTTACCAGGAGGAGAAAGGGGGTGGGAAGGGATAAATTGGGAGTTTGAGATTTGCAGATACTGACTACTAAATATAAAATAGATAAACAAGAAGTTTACGGTGTATAGCACAGAGAACTATATTCAGTATCTTATAAAAAAGAAAATGAGAAGGAATATATGTATGACTGAAACATGATACTGTGCACCAGAAATTGATGTAACCTTGTAAACTGATTACATACTTCAATTTAAAAAACAAGTGGATTTATGACAGTTGAATTCTTTTGGGTTAGTCTCCTTTTAGGGAGATAAGAGGAGTTCAGCAAAAGATTTTTCACACTGATATATTCTAGATACTTTCACTTTCTTTATTGAAAGATAATTTTGGGGTATAATCTTAGCTGCTGTTTTTGTTTAGTACTTTGAAGAAGTAGTTCCATTCTTATCTGGCTTCTATCAGTCTTATCAGTCTTATTCTTACTTTAAGGCAAGAAGGTGTCCTTACCTCTTCTACTTTCTCCCTCCCACTGGCTGCTATTAAAATTTTTTCCCTGTGACAGTTTTACTCTGGTATAACTAGGTGTAGTCTCGTCTTCCCTCCCCTCCCCTCCCCTCCCCTCCCCTCCCCTTTCCTTTTTCCTTCCTTCCTTCCTTCCTTCCTTCCTTCCTTCCTTCTTGGAGTTTGTACTACTTCAGCATATGGCTCAGTGTTTTTTTCCTCCAATTTTCAAAAAGTGTTGGTCGTTCTCTTTTCAGATATTGTTCTGTCTTAATTACTTGCCTACTTTCTTTCTTTACTCCAAATATACTCATATTAGGTCTTTTTACCATGTCCTGTATGTCTTAGTTATTTTGTCAGTTTTCATAATTTTTCTTTATCAAGCTTCTGTTTAGTTGTCATTGACCCCTCTTTCAGTTAAGTAGTCCTTCTTCACCTGAGTTTAATAAGCTGGTAAATCTATTCTTAATTTCATGTTTGTTTTGTTCAGTAGTTCTATAGTTTCCATTCTGTACTGAAATTCTTTTTGTAGAATTTATTGTTCTCAACAGTAACCTCATTTATTTCAATATTTGGATATGAAATGTTAGTATTTTGATTTTTCTGTGTGTTGGCTTCTATATGGTTTTCATTCACTTGGTGTTGGCTCTTGTTTTTACTTGTTCATTGATGATTGAATGTTTGAAATTGTATTTACAATTGCAGGAAATTATATTTTAAAGTCTCTAGATGGTAATATCTTCTTCTAGAGAGGATTTCCTTTTGATTTTTGATTAGCAGTTAGATTGGGTGCTGATTATGTTAATTTAAGACTGAATGGTTCAAATTTGGAACTGTTAAAATCTTTCTGAGAGTTGGCCCTATTTCCAGTTCGTCTACTCCTACTAATGCAGGAAAAATGGATGTGGGGTGTATGAAGGGCTGTGTCCCAGGTCTCCTTTGAGTCCCTGGGATGTGCCTCGCCAAGTGTAGGTCCTTGGCATTGTGCTGGAAAGAATTCAAGAGCGAGCCACCGTTGAGTAAAGGTAGATTTATTTACAGTGTAAGGCAAGAGAAAGGCAAAGGAAGAGGTGTGGAGGTTGGGTGCTCCGGTTAAAGTTAAAATAGGTACACACTCCATGGACAGAGTGTGGGCCATCTCTGAAGAGGAGGGAATGAAAAAGGGTGGCCATGAGGCGTGGTGTTGCCAGTTTTTATGAGCTCAGTAGCTCCACACCTACAAGTGGGAGGACTATTCCAGTTACCCGAGGAAGGGGCTGGGATTCCCAGGAATTTGGCCACCACCCACTCTAACCTTCTATAGTTAGCCTTGGAACTGTCAGGGCACCTGTTGGGCATGTTATTTATCATGCTAATGTTACAGTGAGCATATGAAGCTCAAGGTTGCTGAAAGTCAAATCTCCTACCATCTTAATCCTCAAGGCCTACTGGGAGTTGAATCTTCTGCCATCTTGGTGTTAATTGCTGTCATTTCTTGAACGGCTGTGCCCTGCCCCCTTCCCTCCTGTCTCACTACCATGTAAGCCCATTTATGTCTTCTGAGAACCTGAGATTTTATTTTACCATGGCTCTCCTGCATTGTTATTTCTGTTTCTTTTTTCCCCCCTTCCTCACACTGTGACATTCTGAAAATTTTGTTTAGCTTTTTGGCTGCCAGTTAATCTAAGTACAAATCACCATAATGTTATGTGAAGGTCTGTTTTAGTGTTTTCTGTTTCCTGGGGTATGCTTGGGTCTCTTCTGTAAGCCTGGGTAATCTACTAGGATCTCTTCACCTTGACAGTTTATAAACTTCAATTTTTGTCTCTCTAGTTCTTTAAGATTGATAATATCTCCATTTAATGTTTCTATTCCTACCTGTGAGTAGTAAATGCTTCAGTGGGAAAAGTCATGCTCAAACATCTTCTCTAGGATCTTGGTACCTTAAATCTTGACTATCCTGGAAACTCTCTAATCCCTTAAAAAAGTTGAAAACACCAATTTTTTCTAGCATTTTTAGTTGCTTTTGTTGGTTAGTTTGATAAAAGCCTATCAGCTGTTCCCAGAAGTATAACTATTTGCTGTTATATTCTGCAATTATTTGGTGTGAAATAATGGTCCTTCATTGGGCATGACATCAGAAAAGGAGAGCAAAGATTCTTTCCTCCCCCGAAATAAGAAAATACACCACCTTTGAGCAATGAATAATCATATGTGTTGTGGGTATACATACATTTATTTGACAATATTCATCTCTTTATAGGTTGCTTAGCCAAACAATGAAGGATCATCTGGTAAGAGTAGCAAATGAAGCTGAATTTATCCTGAGCAGGCAGCGAGCAGAGGATATTCACAGACATGCGGAATTTGAGGTAGGTTAAACATATGAATGGTTGGAGGAAGTTACCATTTTTTAGTGGTAAGCATGGGAAACTGTAGGTAAAATGGCAGCATGGTCTAAGTAATGTGTATTATCAAAAAAATTAAAAATTATTTTGTAAAGTAATCATGGGGGATTCTGGGAAGATAGTACAAGTCTGTAGCCTTGGCTCTGATAGTTTTCTCATAATTTAGTGAAGAACATTTGCTGTCTCTAGGTAAGACAGAGCTACTTATCTGGAAATGAAAACCCCTTTGGTAGAGATAAGAGCTTCTAGGTTTCTAGAGAGAAGCTGAACAGAGGTGTGAAGTTTCTTTTCCCTTGAAGTTTGGAAACATGTAATATTTGTAGCTGAGGGAGTGAGGGAGCATACAGCTTTCTTCTTGGATCCGCACAGTGGGACCAAGTGACAGACTCATCCTGAGACTAGGTCTTGTCTCAGCAGTTGCACGTGAACATGTGTAACTAATGTGATTTCATAGGATAAATTAATGGTGTTGTATCTATATAAGTTGTAAAGGTCACATGTATGGTGAATTAGAAACTTTGACAGGAACATTTGCTAAGAATGGGAAAAAATTAAAAAGCACCATCTGGGTTCTTTATAACATATGGAGAGCTGAGCATTCAACTACTGCTGTTTTGGGTTTTTTTTTTGTTACATTCGAAAGGATGAAAACCTCCCCAAGTACATTTTATACAACCATCAAGATGACATGAAAAAGATACTGGAGAAATAAAACCATACAAGACTAACTTCACTTAAGAATATTGGACAAAATTCTAACTAAAATTCTAACCAACATAATCCAATAATATAATTAAAGAATTATACAATTGACTCTTGACAGACACAAGTTTAAACTGTGTGGGTCTGCTTATCTACTGATAGTTTTCGGTAGTAAATACTACAGTACTGCAGTCCGCAGTCGGGTGAAACTGCAGATGTGGAAGAATCTTGGATATGAAGGGCTGACTATAAATTATATGTGAATCAACCCACGTGTTGTTAAAGGGTCAGCTGTATAGTGTGATCATTTAGAATTGATTCATGGACTCCAAAGATGGTTTAATATTAAGATATCCTTTTACAGAATAAATTATATCAATAAATTAAAAATGGGAAAAGTCATGTGAAGCTATCAATCAATAAATGTAGGAAAAAAGCATATAATAAATTTTAGCATCCAGCCCTAATGAAAGTCTGGAGAAAAAGGAGGAAAAAATATGCAATGGAGAAAAGATAGTCACTTTGACAAGTGGTGGTGTTAAAGCTGGACAGTCGCCTATAAATCAGTGAAGTTAGAGTACTCCCTCACACCATACACAAAAATAAACTCAAAATGGCTTAAAGACTTAAGCATAAGACAAGACATTCTAAACCCCTGGGAGAGAATATAGACAAAACATTCTCTGATATAAACTTTTCCTATCAATATTCTGCTAGGGCACTCTACTAAGGCAACAGAAATAAAAACAAAAACAAACAAATGGGACCTAATTAAACTTAACAAACTTTTGCAAAGCAGAGGAAAGTATATACAAAATGGAAAGACAACCTATGGAATGGGAGAAAATATTTTCAAATGATATGACTGACAAGGGCTTAATTTCCAGAATATACAAAGAGCTCATACAACTCAATAATAAAAATCAAACAGCCCAATCCAAAAATGCACAGAAGATCTGAACAAACATTTCTCTAGTGAAGACATACAAATGGCCAATAGGCACATAAAAAAATTAGCGATTTTTCAATATTGATAATGATCAGATAGATGCAAATCAGAACTACAGTAAGGTATCACCTCACACCAGTCAGAATGGCCATCATTAAGAAGTCCACAAATGATAAATGCTGGAGAGGGTGTGGAGAAAAGGGAACCCTCCTACACTGTTTGGGATGTAGTTTGGTGTAGTCATTATGGAAAACAGTATGGAGACTCTTTAAAAAACTTAATATAGACTTACTATATGATCCACTAATTCCACTCCTGGGCATATATCTGGAGGAAACTCTTAGTTATTTCTTAATTACTTTGCTTTCTTTGTTTCATAGCTATGAGTAATTAAATTTTTAATATTTTGTCACTGACGTTTGTAATTTGCCTGTAATTGTTTTTTCTTCATTTTGTCTATTTAGATCTTCAGCCTCTCTCTTTGTTTTTCACTTATTTTGACTTTTACGTTTTTTTCTGGTTTTGAGTTGTATTTTTGTTGTGTTGTTAGAAAATAATCATGAGGAATTTCCTTTCATTTTTTGTTATATTCTTACAAGGTTGTCTTTTGTATAGAATCTTCCAGTTTTATTTAAAAATTTTATCATTTGTCTTTTTTTTAATTCATTCATTATTGATGTATATTTACATAGCTACTGTTTGACTTAGACAGAATATCTTCGTGACTCCTTCCTTCCTCCTTACTGTCTATAAAGCTAATTTTTTCCCTCACTGAGCTACAGTTTGATTTTTAAAATTTGATTTTTGTCTAATATTGTTAGCCTATCATGAAAAGAGGGAGAGTGATCTTTGAGACAGGAGAGCAGGCTTTCTTAGAACACCTAAGTCTTGCTTTCTCTTAAAACATTATGTTAAGTATTTTCTACCAATTTTCTTGTTTATTTAGAACTGTTGACAGTTCTCATCAGGGAGAAATGTGCTTAGTCTTTGAATCATTAGCTGTCATTTCAGAAGGTAGTCTGGAGTCCGCTTCTGTCCTGGGTAGTCAGCCCTATTTTCCACTTCCTTGTTACACCAGTTTTTGCACTGGAGGCTTTTCTAGAATTTTCAATTAGGAGAAGCAAGAGCTAACAATACCTGCTCGGTTTGTCTCTCTCCATGTATGTAGGCATTAAGGAAAATTCTCAGCATGCTGTCAGTTTACCCTCTTTGCTTCGGGCACATGGGAACATGGTTAAGAACTGAGCTTTACTGCACCCTTAGTTCTGTTTCCCATAGTTTATTTTCCCCGTGGCAACTAATTATTTAATGTTCAGCGCTTTATATTTCTTTTGTTGGCTATTTGTGTTAGCCTTTTTGTTTGAAAAAGTTTTCTTTGCTATTGTTTTAGAAGTTGAACGAAGAAAAAGATTTTTTAATTGCCATTTCAACCTACCATCCTAACCTGGAACCTATTTCTTTAGAGTCCTTTCTAATTGATTATGGAGAAGGTCCTTTGTAACTCTGGGTTGAGATTGTAGCTCATTCTATTTTTTTGAATTTTTAGCGGTGTTATATGGGTTCTTCTGTGTATGAATGAGAGAGAATGAGGAAGGGGAAAATGTGAAATTAAGAAGAGGAAAAATACTTCTAAAACACTGTGTAATGCAAGAGATTAAACTGATTTGATTCAGATGGGGTGTGTGTGTGTGTGTGTGTGTGTGTGTATGCATGCATATATATAAAATTTCCACTTTAGGTTGGGGGTAGTGGTGACAGTGTAGCTAATATTTCATGAGTCCTTAAGTTGTGTCAGAAACTGTTATGAGTGCTTTGTAAGTTTTAACTAATTTAATCCTTACAGTAAACCTCTGAGGTGGTACTGTTACTATCTCTGATTTTATAAATGAGAAAACAGATTAAAGAGGAAATAACCCAGAGTTACAGCTGGAATCCAGATAGAGTCAGTTTATCTCTTAATCACAAATCTCTGTATTTGGTTCACATTTTATTTGATTTCTATAGAAAGTGTGAATAGGATTTAATCGTGGCATACATAGCAGCTTTATTCTAAGCTATTTAATTTTATGCTATATCTACTATAGATTTTCATTTTAATCTTTATCATCTTGCTATGAGATTTATAATATTGTATAACATTCTAAAGCATGGTAATAAAATATCTAAATAAAAACAAGTATTTCCAAACAGATTTTATTGTTACTTAAATTTTTAGTAGAGAAAATATATTTGTTCAACTGTTTCACATGAGAGTCAATTTTAAGAGAGCAAACATTTTTAATATTTCCTAGTCTTTTATTTTCATAGAAAAAGAATTCCCTTTGTTAATATTACAAAACCCCAATCGACTAAAGCATGTTTATGTTTAATATATTTCTAACTATATTGCTCTTAAATCTTAAATAATACACTGCAAGATGAAGCATATTTTTTCCTAGACAGCTTATATTCTAAATGTTATCTATATTCAGCCTTGAATTCATGCTGTGCATTCTTTAATAATATATCTGAACTTTATCTACTGCTAGTTACTTCCTCCTGTAGAAAAGAGATGTTGTCATGTATTTAATATACCATTTGTGGTTGTAAAGTAGCTGACTTGTTTCATTTATTATCAGGGGATTGATGACACTGTAGATCTGAAATGCACATCTCTTTAGTTCATCGCATGATTATCACTGGAGTGGGATATCCTTGACATCTTCTGCTTTTGATTTATGTAGAGGTTCCTTGAATGTCATGACATCATTGATTAGGCGTACATCTTTATTTTTTAATCTTACAGCTGTAAACAGAATGTTTGTTAAAAAATTATGTTGTGCAAAACATTGGACCCTGTCTTGTAAATATAGTGTGTAGGTAGGGGTACACAATTCATGACTTATTGTTTAAAAAATTGTCCATCAAAGTTTAGTTTATTTAAACTAGTATGATATATCTGTAAAACATATGATCAAGATTATCAGATAATAACTTCGTTTTCAGGACTCTATGTAAGTTAAAGTCCACTGGAGCAAGAATTTCTTCATGCCCTTTTGGCTGATGTTGCTTTGAATTTCACATATTACACAGTAAAATTCACTTCATATTAGCTTCAGTGGAACTGCAAACTTGGTGGCTAGTTAGCTTATTTAAAGTAATAAAAATAGTCTTTTTTATGAAAAGGGCCATGAAATACTTAATTTTTAATATAGCAATCTATATATTTTTCTTTTAGATGAAGGACTTATTTTTCACATAAGCAAACAAAATATTTCTCAATAAAATAGTGAACTTTTTTTTTTTTTTGGCCAGTTAAGTACTTTCACATTTT